TGACGTCACTGATATCCCAGAAAGTGCTCAGACGCCATCGAAGATCGAAAAAATATAAATAATGTTATTTTGAATCTCAGAATATCTTTCTGATTATTGAATAGATTGGATTATATAACTATGCTTGAGGACTGATGGAAGAGTAGAAGCTGAGAAACATTCAGAGTAATCGACTTGTTCGACGGGCCAATGAAAATGTGTCCCTTCCAAAACGATGCATCATGGGAGATATTTATGTAAATTACCACCTGAACTCTTATCGCGAATAGGAGTATTGGTTAACATAATGCCACATAGATGAAACAATGTTAAGTTACATAAAATAACACTGAACGATAACTGGGAAATAATATTTTCTATTATTTTTAATTATCCCTCGTATGTGCTAATAATTTGATAAATCAAGCACAGCGAATAAGTGCAATAATAAAAACTGTACGATAATAACTTGGAGTGGAAATAAGTTTCATCAATTTCTTCCACTGTGATTGATTTTTACTTTGCATTAATTATTTATATGAGAGAACTCCGCATAAGCAAAAGCCTTTTGTCCAAACTCATTTATTTATGTATATCATAGTCCACTGTGTATAAATGTAATAATATAAACACTCAATTATTTTAGTCTAAATTATAATACTATTCCTATAAAGGTATGTTCCCTCTTGAAACTAACCTAAGTAAAGCTAGTATGTCATAAATTAAATTGATCTTATGAAAGGTAATCATTATAATGGAACTCATTGATAAAAATGTAGGTCTTAGTGACCTTGTCTTTGAGCCATTAGTTTTTCTCCCTCATGTTTCAACCAACTAAATAAATTAAGAGCAAATAAAAAATTAAGAGCATGCCTGATGAACATGAAATGCCGATGATTTAAATCAGTTCAATGATGCCTATGATAGCTCTACAAGTGTCTTTCTGATTGTGATTTTGGCTTGTGCTAATGGTAGTCTGACAGGAGAAGAGGAGAGCTTAATAACTGAAAAAGAGGAGTAAATACTCAATTAAATGTAAGTGAGAGTAAGATAGGTGACAGTTAATCGGGGAGTGATCAAATACTGCTATGAGAAAATGTCCAAGATGTGGAAAGCTACAAAAGACACAAAAGACTGTGAGGAAATACTTTAACATTGTTTCTTTTGTATGTTGGGGTTTATTTCCTTGAAACCAGTTATGCTTAGCAATTTTTGATATCTAATTATTTTACTGTGTTTCTATAATATATTTCCATTTTCCCTAATATGAATATTATACTGTATCCATGAAAATCCATGAAACATGATTTTAATTAATTTCTACAAGTGTATACAAAGAATGTTTTTACAATAAGAAAAAAACAGGACATGATTGAGTGTAAAAAAGCGGATATCATGATCACAAAGACAACTGATGGTCTGGTAAAACTCCAGGACATGCAGTAAAACAATGAAGGATATGATTTTGGTCATGCTTCTTTAGACAAATAATCCAGACATATTTTCTGTTTAAATAACACACAAGCTCTGGGCAAAACAAAAGTTGGCTGGCTCTTAGTTTAAAAAATAAACAGGACGTACAGATGTAGGTGAACAAAATGTGGACCACTTTACCGTTATACCAAATGGTCCAGCCCTGAGTTTAATAAATGTTAAATCATAGACTCCAAGTATTTATTGAAGACCATGATTAAACATATACACTTTCACTGCCCTATCTTGAATGGATCATATGACATTGTCTACCTGTAATTTACAGAAGAGATGACCATCCAATGAGGCAATTAAGGCCAAAGCAATTTGATGGTAATATATGCTTTAATCAAGACTTAATGTCCACATCTGAGCTTGTTAAATTACACTCCGGGATGTCCCAATTGATTTCTAACTATCCAATAAAACTGAACAAAAACACAGGGAACTACTTTGCAAAGAAAATGCATTACAGTTAATAGTGAAGTGCAATTGCTTACCCTTATAAAAAATTCAACCTTGAAAGTCCGAATTTAAACCGTTTCCATCAATCATTGAATAATGATTGTTTCAACTACCAAGATCAAAGGAAAAACCATTGTACGATGATAAGCAATCATTGTGCAACCATTGCATTCAACCAAGCAAATTCAACTCTTTTTCAACGACTGCGCAACCATTTCTATACAATCATTGTAATCTGCAGCCATTGTAAACTGCAACCATTTCACATTGAAATGTAAATGGTTGCAATATGTTTTGTTCAATGATTACATAGTTCAACCCCTGCAACCATCCTGAATTAGTATCATTCCAAAAAAATAATCATTTTACCTGAATTAAGATTATCTTTAAGTAAAGATTTGAATCTACCTCTATTCAACAACAGTATATTAGGATATTTTTTCTGCAAGCATACATGCAGGTTTATTATAGTAAATTACTAAATTCATGTTCATATGTTTCTTTCTCCAGTACGGATTTAGGAATGCGATACCAGACTAGTTTTCCACTCAATGGCATATGATAATTTATGTTCCCTGTCATTTACATTAATAACACAATTAAAAGTACCATATCTAGTGTTTATTTCCCTTTATCTGATATTGCCAAAATGATGTATCTTTAATGTTAATTATGAAAAGAATTTAGCAAAATTCCAATTTTGTTAAAAAATTGACCAAGGAAAATCTTAAGATTTCCTTTAAACTTAACAAAATCACAAGATGAGACACAATGGTTTTTGTTCATGATCAGACTGATATATGATCAAAAGAAGCAGGATATGATGTACAAAATAATGCAAACATATGTAATCACAAGTAATAATGCATTCAGGCAGCAAAGACTTAATTTTTACAGTTTCAATTGGAAAACATCTGACTCACTAAAATTTGAAAAATACAAACAAGAGAACTATTTTGATATTGACTGTATATTATGTGTGAAACACATTATTCACAACAGATTTAATTACCATGTTCTTTCTTGGCAAATATTTTTTATAACAATGCTCAACACAACAATACCTACTACATATTGATATTCTCATGGGTTTAGGCAAATCAAAATGCTTGAACAGCCAATTAAAACGGTTGAACAGCTAATTAAAACGGTTGAACAGCTAATTAAAACGGTTGAACAGCTAATCAAAACGGTTGAACGGCTAATTAAAATGCTTGACCAGAAAAAGGGTTCATAGTCCTAGTTTCTGTTATATCTATTTTCATCTTGTGTTATACTCTATTACTATATATTTAGTTTTATTCTCTATTTCATGCAGAGGGGGGGGGGGGGGTAGTAAAAAAAGTGTTTTTAGATTTTTGAGGGTTTATTTCTTTATTCATATACTTCAATAAGTGCTGAGAAATCTCAAATAGCATTTCATTTTTATTATTTAGTTTGTTTTACCATGGGCATTGAATAGATTGAAAGTCCATGGTTTTACTGTATTCACTAGGGCAGAGCATTTGTACTGAAAAGTGTTTTCAGTTTAAATAATAAGTGTTAATGATTAAAAAATAAAAACCAAAAACAGGGCTTATTTTTCAAAACTCTAAACTTTGAAAAATCTGGAGGAAAAAAGATTTTCTTTGGCAAATTATTTATCAAGTTCTGTGTATGAAATAATTAAATTACATAGGATGCTCCCTTTATAGCAGACTAATCAAACTGAGAGTCTCTCTGTAATAAGGTTTGTTTTGCTTTGCCAAATTATTTTTGTTTTGTTTATGGATTAATGGATTAATAAAGTTTCTTTAGACACATCCTGAGACTGAGTCTAACTGTAATCAGAGTTTTTTAAGTTATGTTTATTGACTTAATTATCTAAAACACATCCTGTAATGTCTGATTGCATTTTCTCTATCAAATCTAAAATATCAAATCAATAAACAGATTATTTTCCGATTGAAGGATTTCTTACTTCCAGACACATCTTCCTTCCTTTATAATTGTGATGATTAGAAGGTGAAGTGTAAATTCCAAGACTTGACCCAAGCAAAAAAATGTCAAATGTTTTTGCAATAACTTATAAAGTTTTGAAGGGATTTTGTAAAAATGATAGTCATGACAGCGAGGGGATTTAAGTTAGGTTCAATATATTTTCATTCACAAGACAAGTTTACTAAACTATTTCAGTACTTTAATCAAACCATTTTAATTCTGACATGTATGCATGAAATACATACATTTGAAATATATTTTTTAAAGGGCAAGATAATTATTTTATGTTGTATTGAGATAATATTGCCATAGTATTAAAGGGTTGCATTCGATTGAAATGGTTGCAAGAAATGCAACCAAAATTGTCAAGCGTTTACAATGGTTACATATGATTGAAACATTTTCAATGAGTTTACAACCAATATTGTAATGGTTGCATCGTAACGGTTGGCATGGTTGCATAAATGATCGGATCAATGATTGTACAATGATTGTGCAACGGTTTAAATTCGGACTTTCAAGGTTGAATTTTTTATAAGGGTAACCCTCCTTTTAAATGTACCATATTTAAAACTCTTGATAATTCTTTGCTAATTGTCGGGAATTTCTATGAATGTGTGTTAATTTATCCCTAATGTCACAGACACAAATAGCAGTTTCTATTAGTTTCAAAACAGGTTAAGACTTGGCTCTTTACACCCACCTGTTATTTTGGATAATATGAACAAATGATATTTACGGTTGATAATACTAAACCAAAAATGCTCCAATAAAACATCTAATACATCAATCCAATCATTAAGTTGTTTCATCTACGATTAATATACATTGTGTTTTTGAAATTTTGTTATGTATGTGTTATTGCATGCAAATTGAACCAAGCGCTAAGATGTCATCCATTGATTGAAATCTCCTTCATTAATTCCAAGGCACGAAAGGGTTAAAAGCCAACATTTCTCTACTTATGTCCATAAACATGTTTGTTATTGAACGGACTTCAATAGCAGTTGAACTAAAGCCATATTATATTTCCCTCATAATCTTACTAATGAGGTTATCAGTTAATGGAAGCAATTTATAAATGAATCTGTATTTACTTTCAGAATAGCTGGTATATGAAGCAGTAAATCTAAGAGAAAACATAACCACCAGGTGAAAGAGGCTCCAATGTTCAGAAGCAATTGGAATAAAGCACAGGACTAGATCAAACAAACTCTAAAGACAACTAACAAGTTCATAGAAGTTAAAGAAACCACTGAATATTTAACTGGACAAGTTGAAGACCCATGAGATGATAGAATTAGGAAACCTGCTGATAAAATATTCACTATTGACATATTATTGACTTATCAACAAGCTCTTTAGACTTTTTCTTAATAGAGTTTGTTAATGTCAAATTGACATGAACATTAGAGGACCATAGAGACTAAAAGACAGATATCTAATACCTACAACTGTCGATATGAACAACATCAAGACTGTGACGCCCATAAGGGAGCAGTAACACATAGAACTGTCAAAGTTAGGGCTGTAAATATCTTCAGATCCGGTCTATAGAAAGTTTCAATGCTAAATAAGGGCATAGCACTATTAAAATTCAACCCGGAAAATAAAGGAGAAACTAAAGATTGGATTAAATGATAAATTAAAATTGTTCAGAGATTAAGTTTCACTGGCACTGGTAAGCATAGAGTGCACTAAGTTTTTTTACACTCACTGACTGTCAATTAATTGTCAATACGGCATCAGATAACACCCAAGCAGTCAATTCTGGTCTTTATTTACAAACCAGAGCTAACCCCTGACAGTTAACCTTGCACAAATAATCTTACAAACCCATAAACGATCAACAATAGAGTCATAAAGTGTAATAAGAAGACAACAATTGTCAGATGAATAAATGTTATGACTATTTAACAGGGCATTATCTCTGAGATAAAGCAACTTTACGTGTTGGATTCTTCGTAGTGAGTATTTTAAGACTAAGTACTACGAAGCTTCGGGAAATAAGCTCCATGAGTGAATGCTATCGGAGATTAGCAATGCACAGTGGGGCGTGAGGAAACAACATAAATATAAAACTATCATAGAAGAATCATAGAGTATATTCGAAGGAAAAATAATAGACACATATTGAACAAATTACCAAACTATTTATGATTCTGTTTCATGGAAAGTAGGATACAAATAGATGAGATAAAGATCAGACTGTTAGGTATGAACTGTTGAAGCTTGGCTTTCATTAAAGGTGATTATTTTTATTTATCAAAGTGGTTAAAAGTGTGATAGATAGAGTTCAAATATACCTTTGCTCCTACGAAACTAGATTCATGAATTAATTGAAGTTTTCTATTCACGATAATTCTGTGGAGTATTTCTAACAGGAAATGTAGAATGAATTGTCAGCTGTAGAGAAATTAAGTAAAGAATCAATTTCAACGAACACCGAGTCCAACATAAAGAAAACACTTCAAATCAAATCCTCGTGAATCACAAGTGAAAGTAAACATTTAAGGACAAATCAGTAGAATTAGATATCACATTTAGCAAAAGAATATTTAAACAAATCTTACTATTCATTTGTAACTTCTGTTAAGTGGTTTCAGATGGAACTTTGTGATAGCATCAAAGAGGAACAACAAATAAACATGAAGCACATATCTACTGTCAAATAAAATCAATCAATACAAATACATATTAAAATGGCTGAAGAACAAAATGGACTAGCTCTAGTAGAAGAAATCTGCAATAACTATGTTGTACCAATTATCTGTGGCGTGGGAATTGTCGGCAACTTGTTGAATCTAATGGTCCTAGGAAGGAAAACTCTAAACGACTCCCCCTATTGTTACTTAACCGGATTAGCCGTATCAGACCTTATCACATTAGCATTAACAGTCATCTTCTCGCTAGTTTCACAGAAATATGGAATTGGAAACTATGATTGGAGGATATTTGATGCAAAGGTGTATTACCCCCTGGCAAATGTCACCACCACAGCCAGCATCTGGCTTACTGTCGCTCTCACCATTGAACGATTTATCTTCGTCAAATACCCAATCACATCTAAACGAGTGTGCACCAAGAAGACAGCTCGGCACATCATAGCGCTTGTATACTTCGCTGCATTGGTGATAAACATCCCGCTATGGTTCTGCCTGGATGCTCAACTCGTGAGTAAAAATGAAACAGATGTATACATTCTTGCTCCAACTGAGTTTGAGAAAAGTAACTTATACTATGGAATCACATGGATATCCATATCAGTGACCCAACTCATTCCAATACTCATTCTGGCAAGCTTGAACTTATGCCTTGTCAGTTCTGTATGGGCGATACATAAGAGAAAACAACAAAGATTCCGCTCATCCGTAAACCAGGACCCAAGAGCTAATCAGGATCAGATTAGGCTCACCATCACTCTTATCAGCATTGTCGTTCTGTTTCTCATTTGCTTCACTCCCTCCATCTTTCTTAACAAGCACATCGCACATGGACTTTTTGGTGAAGGACGCACGTATACCGACTTCTACTATTCAAAGCCATACAGACTGTGTAAACTAATATCAAACATGCTGGTGACATGTAATCTAGCTTTGAACTTTGTATTCTACTGCGTGTTTAACAGGAGGTTTGTTCGTGCTATGACAGAAATGTTCACGGAATGGGCAACATTTACAAGTCAGTGCTGTCTCTCAAAGGCAATATCAAATTATTGCCCATGCTGCTTACACTACAATCAACAAAATGATCATACTGCCATAGCAACATGTGACATGGACACAAAGTGGATAAAAGAGCCAAGCAGATCCAGAATTGCTAATGGAAATCACTCACAGATTGGTTCATCGAAAGTCTGAAAGAGATGAATGAACGATCTTGACTTATTTTCATATGTATGAAAACAGTGATCAGCTCATTATTATTTAAAATCCAAATGAATGAATACTGAAACACATTGTACAAAAAGGTATTTTAAATACACAAGGTCAGCAAAAAAGATTGCAACTGATCGATTATATAAAAAAAACATTCAATAGAAGGTAGGTTGCATTTTTTTGCTCACTCTGTAGATATCCCTTTTATGGAATACATACTTAGACCTGAGGATGCCTTTTAGCACAGTGCATCTCAGTATAGTGTACAGATCCCTGAGAATATACCTCACTGAATCTCGATGGTTGAAAATTACATGTTTTCATATATAAAATATATATCAATTTAATATATTTAGTGTATATACCACTCAATTGTAAATATTCAAATCCAGACTTAACAGAAAAGTTCATCAGATAGCTCAAGATTTAAAAGGGTGTTTTTATGAGGAATATTTTTCCTTTTGAATTAAAATCACTGATTTTTAGCTGTTCGAGTTTTATATTTTTGTATCAGTTACAACAGTCTGATGAATAGCTATCAGAGAATAGGCCGACTCTAGCCTTAAGTATATTTTATGGGCTGTGGAACAGACTGTAATTTAGATCTTGAGCTATCTGGGTTAGCGAACATGAAGACAAACAGCACCAGCGGGGACTGGTAGGAAATTACTGTAGATATAAAATTGTAAAAAGCTTTCATTCCTATTCCAATAGTAAGAAAATGTATAACATGACAATCAATCATAGTATTAGTACAGTAAAAACATTGAGTTGGAATGTTTCTCTTCAAATTGCCCGGTGTAGAAGGGATGGAGGTATTTTGAAATTGTAGTCCTCCTTATACATAAGGGTTCATACAGTGGCACACATGTACTTAAAGGGGCTATAGACCTCATTCTCATCTTAATTAATCTAAAACATATTTAAAAGACATAATCTTTAATTTCTGAAATTATATAAGCTTGAAAAAATTCCTCATTTAGTAAGCAGTGTAAAAAGTTTCAAATTGAAAAAAACTATATACTTATAAAACTTATACCCCTTTATGAGCTTCAAAAGGGAATTCATTTTGTCTATATGAATGATTTTTTCAAGCTTCATAATAACAGAATAAATGATATCACTGAGAGAATATCAATATCAAATGCTTTGAGAAGAGTGATATTAATTGTATATAACCATTGTATAATATCAATAATATCTCAGCATAAGGAAAAATTATTTTATTGCTGTATAATATCACATAATTTGGTTAATATCTGAGTTTATCATAAGTTTTATTTAGATTGATGAGAGGTAGGCAAGGTAGGTAGGTGTTTTGTGGTCTTGTCCTTTATTAATTGGTGCCCTGAGTAATGCAGAGGTTTGAAACAAATACATGTTTTAATTAAACATGATATGTGTGTATCTGAGCAAAATATGATGCTAATTATTGTGAATACTTAAGTTCAGGTTATAATCAGGACATAAATACTATAAAGTGTTTATGTCCCAATCGTACTAAGAGATGCTCAAACTCAAGGTACACTCATTCGGGTGTGGATACTGCCCCCGAGAATAACATGTTTGTGAATAATAATAATATCAATATGTTAAACAATGTGTAAGGCATCTCTCAGTTTGTTACGTTTCTTTCTACTTAACCTACCTTAAAGAAAGAATCAGATCTAGCAAGCATTCATCATCACAATTATATCGGCAAAATTTTTAGAATATGTTGTGGTCATACATGTCATATGTATGTCTATTTTCTAAAAATACCCAAAGTGTAAACTTTATTTGAGGAAAACTAAAGGTTTTTACAATCATGCATTCATTTGTCTATAAATATGATTACCATTTTTATTATTTTAGTGAATTTAAACAATCCCCCCCCCTCCCTTTTTTACACGTTGAACCTTAAATAACTTCACAAGTTGATGAAACATCAGGGGAGATATTATATTTGACATTGTAAGGAAAATATTACTCCCCTATAGATCTGATTCTGCATTTAAGGTCTCCTGTGATGCCATGATTTAGTAATTTAGTGATTTGGTGATTTCATATTTATTTGATTATAAGAGATAATTTGTTTGTTATTGTGATTATAAGGTGAAATCACCTATGTGTTATTGTGCTTAATTTTACAAAATCCAACAAAAATGAGAATGAAGAACATGTCACAAAGTGAAGATATATTCATATATACGAATGAGGAATGGAATATGTAGCAATGACTGTACAGAAATCCTTGTATTAAAGCTAAAGACATATACTGAACAACTCCAATATTTTTGCAGAACTATGAAAAATTGTCATAAATTGTAAGTTATACATGGTTACAAAAGTGTGACAATTTGTAACAGAGGTAAATGCAGAAAACCAATCGCAGAAAATGATCATTATCATAAATGCATTAATTAGGAAATAGAACATACGAAGGGCAACATTTAGAAAAAAACAGTGTGAATCCTTTTAACTCCTGAAAACAATTATTTCAATGTTAACTTTATCAAACAATCAACAAACTTATAAATTATGATGCGATGTGGTATAACATAAAATTAAGAATTTAGAAATTAAGCAGAAATAAGTAATCAATCAAAAATGCATGCCATATTATTTATTTTTGTATAGTTAAATTATTTATCAATATATTTTATTGTCTCAAATATTTGACAATATGCTAAAATGTGTTAATGTCGATTGGCAACATGCTTATGAAATGAAAAAATGTAGGTAAAAATCTCAATGAATCTACATACAGTATATATTTATAACCCTTTGTGCAAAAGTTTTGTTTAAAGTAAGGTTTTATTCTGTATGCATAATTGAGCATGGTGTTAAATATTTTGTTGTTTTGAAAATAAAATATTAAATTGTATTGGAATATCTGTGTAATTTGTTGAATCTCATATATACAATAATATTTATGTTCAGGGTGGGCCAAAAAAAACGCCACTTTTTTTCAAAATGCTATAACTTTTTTAATTTTTGATACAAAATCATAATTTGCATAGCAAATGAAACTTGAGGTTGTTATCTAGCCATGGATCATGAATTATAAACTTTTACTTGAATAAAATATGTCACGAGCGTCTCACTTAAACATGTGGTGCGCCATGAGAAATAAGCATAATTTGCAAAATCTACTGAACTGATACGGCCTGATGAGCGCTAAGCTTAGAGCTTAAACCCCAGTGAGTATAGGGTATAGGAAGGTCTCCAGGAGATGGTATGAAGGCACCCAATCTAAAAAATTGATCAACTAAAGCTGGCAATTAAGACAGGTTGAAAAATATTTAGCTAACATGTCATTAATACTGCTATATCAGCAAGGCGACTTAAACTAAAATCTATCATCAAATAGGGTGGCGGACCAATTGAACTCCTCTTTTAGATCAAATATAATCCCAGTTGAAGGACTTGTTACATTATATTATTACTAAGAACCCTTGGCACTATACAACTGCAAAATTTGGGGTATGTAGGTTGGAAAATAAAAAAGTTGTAGTGTCTTGAAAAAAAAGTGGCGTTTTTTTGGCCCACCCTGTATAATGAGTGAAGTACTGGTTAACCATTAACGACTGCAAAACAAATGTTTTTGTCCAGATGTCATATGATATATTATACCTATAATATGTAAATATACTCATACCATACACGTACAAATATCAAAAGGTAGGTCCACCATGAGAAAATAAAGGAAGCATTTTAACATTCAAGTTCAACTCAAAATACCTTACCCAAGCATTGAGATAAAAAAGGGGTGTTATACACATTTGAGACTTTGAAAAAGCTTAAGATCTATTTGCATCTTCTTGAAACTGAGAATAATCATTGAAAATGAGCATATTTTGAAAAAAAATAGAAAAAGTATGACTATACCATTTTTGCAGCATACAGAGAACATAATGTAGTAAATCAATTTCTGAAACAAGTAGTTTCACCACCTTGGAATATTATATAGCCTATAAGCCACTTCAATATAGCAGAGATAGTGCTTGATGACACCTCATAACTCTGCCACTTGAGATTCCAATAAAACACACACAATTAGAAACCCCCAATTATGTGGGTGTATGAGAAAACACCAATAAGTACCAGATAATAATTAGAAAATTCATAGCAGTATATGTAACTTGCAAAATGTCACCACCTGCCATTTAATTAATTGGAACAGACATTCAACACCATCCAGCAACCGCTGAACTCCACCCATAAAACAGTTGGAGACAATAACAATATGTCGTGGTGGCATAAAAAGGTATAAAATAAAAATGCATAAGGCGTGACCAATTTTATGAGGTATATCATATTTATCAAAGAGTTAGATATCAATATCTTCACAGGAGATTCAATTATAACATAAAAATAAGATAATTTTCAAATGGTCACCTTCTCTCAAAAGTGCCATTAGACAGTGTGCCATATTTATAGTATTCACATACCAAATATGAACACAATAGCTCAACTACTTTTCAAGTTACAGCAAAAATCGTAAAATAACGAGTAAAGGCCGCCATTTTTCAAGATGGCTGCCATGTGCTTCTTTAATATCTACATTTCTAGCTTTATTAATGTCCTCTATAATTTTTTTACATTTAAAACATATTGCTATTTCAGTTTTACATATTGCACCTAAATTACTGTAAGATCGGCACTAAAATGGCCGCCATTTTTGAATGAGCGGCCAACGGTATTAGAGTTATCGCCCGGATGGATGGACAGATAGATGGATGGACGAAGGCGTTCCCTATATCCCTCCGAACTTCGTTCGATGGGATAATGATACAGACATAATTGTTGTATTACATACCATTATTTCCATGGCTACGTTATACCAATGACGTCACACGTCTGTTTGCAAGTGAAATTTGGAAGAAATGAAACATGACGTCATAAGATTGTCATGGTAAAAAGTTTGGCAGCTATACAGGAATATATAGCCGACCTTCGGCTCCATTGACTTCCATACAAATGCTTCGTTAGGTGTGTATGTAAGCAGTGATATAATATCTAAAACTGCATGGCTCCAAAACATATTTACCAATTTAGTTATCAATTTTCCAAGAAAACTCGAAATATTATCAAACCAACTGAGTGGAGAAAATGTTTGATAATTGCTTAATTGCAGAATGTTTTTATAAATATGGGAGTTAATCTTTAAGTAGCACTTCAAAAAAGGTGCAATGTTCTGAATAAAAGTAATTCATCTTTCAATAGATTTGGAGGAAGTATTTCACATGTGTGATGGAGGGTATTACAATACAGGATATATAACAGGTTTGTTTTTTCCAAATGTTATTTAGGGAGACAAGATCCGTAATATGAGCATTCCTAAAATACCTTATGCATTGATAGCAGATGATTTAGAAATACAATTAATGTATATATATATATATGTAACTTTAATGGTAAATGTAAATGGTATTAAATACCAATTTAAATTTGTTAGGCTTTGTTATGCTTGGCAAGCTTCCTAACGCTCTCTCACACTCTCCTATGATACCCATGCTCCGTCTCCATCCCTATAAATAGCACTGAGACCACTCAAAACACAAAGATGGGACCCAAGAGAGGTAGAGGTGCAGCAAAGAAGAGCCAAAGAGGGACAGGCAAAGGGAAAGGCCGAGGTCTCCAAAACTACTTATCTACCAATGAAATAAGTCCAAAAGAGGAAAAAGTATCAATCCGACTATCCATAGACACCATGAACTCGAACCTCACCTCAACAAGTTCTTCATAATGTCTGACTTATTTTCGAAAA